AACCTCAAACACGTGACCGCAGTCTGCCAGCTCCACGAATCTTGCGTCCGGCTCATCTTCGGTTCCGAAAAATATCTCCGTCACTTCGTCTTTGTGACACTCTCGGCACTTTTTTGGGCATATTTCCCCACAGAGACCGATACAAGGATGCCCGCACGTAAGTTGCTTTGTACATGGTTCGTCACATCGTGGACGATTACACAGTTCCCCGCATAGTTTCGTGCATTTATGATGCTCGCAACGCCAGATGCATTTCTCGTTACAAAGATCACAAGGCTCACCACATTTCTTCGTGCACTTGCTATGCTTGCAGTAGTTGCCGCATTTGTCCTTGCATGGAGGGCAGTTTTTAGTGCACGGCTCACTGCAGCTATGACCACAGAAGAGAGTGCGGCCACATTCAGCCTTGCATGGCAAGTGGACTCGACCACGGAGACAACGAAAGCAGTCACCTATAATGTAAAGCAGGAATTAGGAACTACTTAATAAAATTATATGGTTTTACTCTATACTTTGTGACGCAAACAAGTCAGTCAATTATGTTCCAAGAACAATTACTATCTTGTTTCTCCTGTAACATACATAGATACTGACAATAATAAATACTATAACTACAGTATGTTGTTTTGCGGTAACAATAAACATAATTAACATTATACCACAGGGGATCGAAAAGAAGAATTTTAAAATGTTTAAAGCAATTTACTGAATTTTAAAGAAAGTTGCGCTCTCATTCATTCATCTTTGGAACCTTTGTCTGAAAACACAAGTCACAGTTTAAAGTATGTAGACATGATTAAATCAAATTGAAGCTGAAGTTCCTTTAAGGGTCTCACTACTCGAAACAACCGGTCAGGACTGTTACTGAATATTCTACTCGGTCATTTTTATCAGTGAACGAAATCCTAAGATTGCAATTTGGGAACCTGTAACAGTGTATATCCTCTGTCGGTTAGAAGGCACTTTCAGAACTTACCAGCACAAGGGTGTTCACACTTTAAGGTCACACCACAAGGTGCCCTACATGGACTGTGTAGTGGATTCACATGACATTCCGTCTCGTTTTCATGTCCGCAAGGCCAATATTTCTTTGTAATGGCAGTGCACTTCACACTGCACTCTTCAGAGCACCTATTCTTGCACCGATGGCCACACGATAGAATCTTTGAGCAGGGTGATTGGCAATTCACTTCAACAGGATTCTTGGAGCAAGGGACATTCTGAACATGGCCACAGAGAGGAAGGATTTTTGTCACGAGCTCCATGCAAGGCCCACACTCCTGGTAACATCTCCTGGTACACTTGTGCTTTTGAGCGC